GCGAGCATGTGCACGCGGGTGTGCACAGGTGTGGTCTCTGCCCCTCTTCCTTCAGCACCAGGACTCAGTCGTCCCTGATGAGCTTTCTAAGCCTGGGCACTTCTCAGTGGCCCCACCGCCGTTGGATCATGTCTCTGTCTCTCGATGCCTCTACCTGATGTCTGTGGATCAGACTCCGCAGCTCAGGACAAGTCCTCAGGGTTGGTAACAGCCCTGTGGCCGTCCTTCTTGCTGCTCCACATGACCCTCTTGGCCTTAGTCTCTTGAGAACGTCCAACTAGATGCTCCTTCAGCAGGCTCCTGATGAGTGGTGGTGCTACCCTACAGCCCTGACAAGGACGGCCACCACCAGGGCCGCTCATCTGCCCCTGCTCAGAGGGAGAGGCGAGCCAGAAAGGAGATGGCAGTCAGCTCACCGTGGCTGCAGGGTCTCTACACCTTCACCGCTGGTCTCACCTTGAGGAAGCTGAGGGGCACTGGGAGCATAAGGCCAGTGCTGAGCAGGAGGGACTTGGTCACAGCCTCCTTAATGCCAGGACTCCTCAATGCCAGACACTCAGTGCCAAGTGCCCTGGTGGGCACTTCACCCAGCAGGCTCATTGTGTGCCCCTGTGGAGAAGAGGGTTTCCCTACCATTCGCTCCTCAGAAGTACGGGCCCCAGGATGCTGAGGTCCGCCTGCGCTCAGCAAAACGTGGAAACCCTGCCACAGGGCCTCTCTCCCCTGAGAGCCACCCTTCCATCCTCTGGTAACTACCTAGTCACTGTTTTCTTTGAAAAGAACATTTTATTAAGTTAACCAAACCTCTACTCTGCAATTAACTCTCATTACACAAGCAATTAAATGGGGAGTAGGATTATTTTGCAATTTAAAGCTATTTATGCTGACACTAGATTTTCCTCTAATTAATTCTTACTTCCTGGTTTTAATTGTTATTTAATTAACAGACTTTCTGACTCTACCTGCGTGTTATTTGAGCACCAGTTTATCTCCCTGCCCAGGCAGTGAGCACATTGCTTCTGGGCAGATGGAATCTTCCGAAGGAGAGAAAAAGGCAGTCGGCTGATTCCCTTGAGCTACCTGAAAGCAGAGCTTGTGAGAAGGGGAGGGAGTGTTCCCTCACCTGGAGTCGCCAGTCTAACCTGCAGCACCAGTGCTTTGCCGGACAGTGCTCCCGGTGGCTAGCTCAGGGTGGGATGGCTCAGGGGCTGGGACCTGCCTTCCGTGTCAGAGAACATGTGAGTGGCACATGGACACAGAGCCACACGCTGCACCAGGCCTTCCTGGCCAGGATCATCCCGGGTGACTCTGTCAACAGGGGCTTGTCTCCAGAGCTTCACCCTTGGCAGTCAGAAGCCCCGACTGGACATAAGGAGGCCGTGGAGCAGGGTGCTGCTTGGGTGGCTGGATGGAGAGAGGCTTAATGAGGGTCCCTGCAGGGAGATAAGTCTGGGAAACATGGACTTAATTGTGGGTCCCCATTTCTTAATGGACTTTAGAAATATGACCTCTCCAGCTCTTCGTTTTCTCTGTAACCCCTTCTCTGGGGTCCCCTGGGACTATCCTAGACAGGGTCCTTTGGACTCTCATAATTTCCCCTCTGGAGTCTATATAGTGATGCCAGATATTGCAAATATTGCATTGAGGATGCTTATACCAAAAAAAATTGTTTGTTGTATATAAAAAAAAAATCCAAGTTTAACAGTGTGTCCTGTAGTTGTCCTGGTAATCCTGGCAGCCCGACTCCAGCAGTGCATTCTGTTGAGGAAGGTGGTCCTCTCCAAAGCACCTTTGCCCCAGCCTGGTTGAAATGTTCTCAGGGAACCAAATTAAACAATGATATGCAAAGCACTTCAACCTTTGCACTTATGATGGCTCCTTCATTATATATAAATATAAAACCAGATCTCACATGACAGAGTTTGCAATCCTGAGACAGGAATGTAAAATTACCACTTAATATACCAAAGTCTGTAATGGAAAAAAGTAGACCATGTGCAAGAACAGGTAGATTCGGTCAGCAGAGAGACAGAAACCCCAAGAGAGAATTCTTAAAATGCTAGAAATTAAAGTTTTTTTTTTAAAGACCACAATAGAAACAAGGACAGACATTAATAGATCACCTGTAAACTGGGAGCAGCTGAGGAAGGAAGTGGGGTGCTTGAAGACAGCTCTTTAGCAGCTGCCAACCGAGGTGCAGAGAGAAGAAAGAAGGATAATCACCACAGGAAGTCCAAGAGCTGCGGGACATGGTCAAAACTTGCAGCTGAACACACGGGAACACAAGTGGGAGAAGGAGAAACGGTGGAGGTGAGATGGCTGAGAATCTCAAAATGAGTGACAGATGCCAAACCACAAGTCCCAAGGAATGGCAAGCAGGACAAATACCAGAAACGCCTGCGCCTGGATATATCATATTTAGACTTCAAAAACCCAAAGAGAAAGTACTGAAAGGAGCCAGAGGGAAAGTACACTTTTCCTACAAAGAGAATTAGAATCAACGTCTCGTCAGAAACCAAGCAAGCAAAAAGAAGGTGGAGGAAGGTGTTTAAAATATTCAAAGAAAAACTTAAACAGGAATTAAAAAGTAGTGAGATTATTCTTGAGAAGAGGCAGAGAAAAAGTATTTCCCAAGTGGACAAAAATGCAGGGAATGTTTGCCGGCAGACATGACCTCAAGAGCTGTTAACGCAGATCCTCAGAGGACAATGGTGTTGCTTTAGGAACTAGAGCTGTGTAAAGAAAGAGGTCAAAAAGGAAGAAACAAAGACAAGACAAAACCTTATTTCTTTATTCTTAACTGATATGAAAGATAAGTTATTGGATTAATGACAGTAGCAGTGTCCGGGGCGATTCTGGCATGCCAGTTAGTGAAATGATTGACAGCAATGTTGGGAGGGATGGGAGGGCAGGTGGAACTCCCAGGCACCCACAACACACTTCCACATGCATCCTGGTGCTAATTGAGGGGACACCTAGATTCATTTAAAATGTACACTGCAAGTTCTAGGTCAACCACTCACATTTTACAAAAGAAATGCAGTTGATGTTCTAAGAGGGGAAAAGAAATGGAATTATGTAAAAATTAGTGGATATAAGGAAAAGTGTCGGTGGCCTTTGAGAATAAGCTGCACTTGTGCCACCCAGAATGTGGCTTATGCAATAAATCAGTTCTGCAGGGACCATGAGACAGTGAACATGGCCTGCTTAGCACAGCCCCAGTCACAGAATCTGCTTCATCAATATCTCCATCCTCACTGTCATTGCCAAGTGTCACCATCGTCAGTCATTGTCATTGCAAGCATAATCACTGTGGGAGGGGAAGCCCTAGAGGATCCCTCTGGGTACCCTGTATCTGACTTTGAGTTCCTTCCAGCAAAAAACAAGAGGGGATTCTATTCTTACAGGAGAAACAATAAAAGCTCAGAACTTGGGGCCACTTGTGGAGATGCCTGGGAAGGTCACTGGGTCTGGGGACTCCTGGAGCAGATCATTGCTCACCTTCCTTTGGAGGGGATCGTCAACCTGTCAGGTCTAATGACCTGGTCCTCGTCTGTTTGTCTGACCTCATCTCCCATCACATGCTCCCTCCCTCTGGTTCTCAGTCGCCAAGCTCAGCTCAGCCTGTTCCCTCTGTCGTACAAACTCTTCCCCTTCATCTTCTTGTCCTTCAGATCTCACTTCCAAGGTCAAATCTTTAAGAGGTCAATCTGATGCTCTACTTGGCATCTCTCCATACCCTCTCCATAAGACAGCCTGCG